TGGGAACAAGTAATCCAATACTCCTTGATCACTGACACCATTTGGAGGTTCCAAGTCATCTGCAAAAACTGTAATACAAGCCTTTTCTTTGAGTAGGTATATATTTGCCTTGATCCTTCTAAGAACATTATGAAGCAGCCTGCCACAAAGGGAGCTGGCAACTCCCTCCGATTGGGAGTTGGAGAGCCCTGATGTCATGCAATAAAATTGTGGAGTTTCATTGTCTTCTGACAGACTTCTGGACAAGTAGTGTGTTTATTTTCCCTGTTGTTTCATATTGGGTGTACAAAATGCCTGAAATTCTTTTTGAAGAATAGGAACAATTATATTTCTATGTATCTTTAAATAAAACTTTTGGAGAGTAAGGAGTAATACTACATTATAATAATATATAATCATATATATGCTATAATCATATGGTTTTACTTTTCATGAAATTGATACTTCTGTTCATTCTGCTCCACTGGCAAGTGATGGAAAGAACTCAGACTTCTGGTGCCTGTTAAAGCTGGTGAACCGAGTTCAGATTGCATGTGGCGGTAATAAAACTTTTGCCTTAAGGTGACTGTCACTGAAGCTGTAACTGAAAATCTTGCTATTAAATACTCAAGACAGAAGTTATGGACAGAAAATCATGTTACCAAGAGTTAGAAATTATGTGACCCCTGAAAAGTATCCCTTCAATTCTGGATTCCTCCATTTAGGCAAAAGATGGGTTTTAATTCTCTTGTTCACAACTGTTGGGCCTAGAATAACATAACGTATCTGAGTTTAAAACTTTGTGAAGAAGCCAGTTATTGATAGTACTTCGTTCTACCAACTAGTAAAATCCTGGTTGAGGTTTTTGGCAGCATCTACCTTGTGTCCTCCAGACTACTGTCTATTCTCTCACAGATTGATCTGTTTACTAACTGAAATGTGCAAGAGAGTCAAAGTTGAAAAGTTTAAACGTTAAACAGTTTGGATCACTATCTTTACCAAGCAATTTTCTGTTAATTCTCATCATTGCCACTTGAGGTAGAGAAACTTGACTTGAATTGCATACTAATAATGATTGTGAACTGGAGTTCGGAGAGATTTGGAAGATGCGTAGAACAAAATAGTAGCATGAATTAGAGAAGGAAGAAAAAAAATTAGTCACCATGTAAAATGATTTTTCAAGTTCAGTTAGTTTGTACTGCAGTGACTATATTTTGGGGGTGTTTTGTTGTTGTTTTTTTTCTTTTTACAGAAATGCCTTGCACAGTATCTGGATGGTTTACGGTATAGATCAAATGTCCTCTCCCTTGCAGAAGCTGACCCTCTTAAGATCCTAGTTCAGTTTGTTGACTATGGTACTTTTTCAGTTGCCCCAACAACCAGGTAAATATGTAAGAAAGAAAATGCGTGTATAGTATCTGTGTGTATGTATGTATAGACTTATATTATAAAATAGGTACTTATAAATAAGTGTATGTATTTTTACATTTATTATTTTATATAACTACAGATATATTATTTATAATAATTTAGCATTAGATTTCAGTTGGAGAGGTTGGTGGAATAATTTCTGTCTGCAGGGTACAAGCTTGTGCACCTGCTTCTCTTTGTCAGGTTGTTCTGAGAAGCCCATTATTACAATATCAGATTCTCTGTCTTCTTCAGGTTACTCACCCTGTGAAGCAGGCTCAGGCTTCTAATCTGTGTTTGCACCCGAGAAGCTTATACAAAATAGGGACCGAGCCCTCCAGGTATACAAACAAATCCTCTGATCCTGTGTAGCAGCCATCTGCAGGGAAGACAGCTGGGGAATAAGATAAGGGAGTACCTGAGTGGGGGACACTCCACACCCCTTGTGTGGAAAATAGAAGTTCAAATCCCTGTTCTGGCTGGTGCTGAGCTGCACAAGGAACTGCTCCTGTGCTGACACACAGATGTCAGCTCAGTCTCAACGCCCCAGGCTCTTAGGATCCCCTAAGCTTGCCTGAATTTTCTCTTTTGAAGTACTTTCACTTTATGCAAGTACTGCTTAATCACATTGACTTGCTCTTGAGCTCATTGGGGAGTCTACAGGTGCTTGCTGAAGGTGAGGCACAATGGGGATTTGAACAGGTTTCCTGCTTCACTGACCATTAGGGTCATGGGAGAGTGTGCATTTTATTTCAGGGTTGCACTTCCTGCTCTGCTTCCCCATTCCCTTGCTTCTGGGATAGAAAGACAGAAGAATGGGGAGGTGATAATATAAAACTAAGATGCCTATTTCCAGGGGCATGTCTAGAGCACATCCAGGCGTGAAGCACTTTGGACCACAAAGGCCTGTGTCATTTTCCAGACACACCAGATGTGGAGCGTACGTTGTGGTGACTTGCACTTGTGTTCCTGTGCTCAAATTTGTACTGGGCACTTAAGACTCCTCCCTGAGCACTGTAACGGGGAGCCAGTGTGCCTGGCAGGCTGAGCGGTCTGTGTGATACTGGCCTGCTTCTTGACAGTTCCCGTGTGGAAGCCCTTCAGAGGGCCTAGCCCTGACATCAGCATGTCATCGTAGAGCAGGGACTGACCCCAGTTCCCACACCGTAAATCCACTGCGTGAACCATTAAGCTACCCCCTTGTGCCCGTACTGACAGTTTAGCTTGTTAGGTGGATTGTTGCAGGCACGTGTTTTTCATTTTTGTTTTAGATTGCATCACCTACCTTGTCATCTGCTGAAGTATCCTGCTCAAACAGTATGAGCTCTGTTGGCTAGATTTAAACCTGCTTTATGCGACAAAGCCATGAAAATAATCCCTTATTCCCCAAAATGAAGTCTGGAAGCACTGTGGGCTATGATGGAGTGCCTTGAAGGAAAGCAGCTCTCTGTTTCTGTACTTGTGAGAAACACTTTCCCTTTCTCTCCTAGTTCTTGCTCAGCCTAAAATTCTTACTAGCACTCTTGAGCATAATTTCTGAGTATGTCTTTTACTGTGAACCCTCATAATTTAAAATTGTGAACCATTTGCCATGAAGGAGTGCTGATGAAGACAGAAGATCATGTGGTGCTCTTCTTAGTCCCGCAAACAAAAATCTTCTGAGCATTCCTGTTAACTTAAACCCAGAAACTTAAACTGAGAAACAATCTTTGTATATTCACACTTCCATTTAGGCAGTGAGTGTAGCCAGTAAAGTAACTGTTACTATTGGTTAGCTTGAGATTTAAATCTGTTACTGTCAAAACTCCATCAACTTCTGGTTTTCAGGCTCTTTCACCAGAGCTCACCATTTCATTTTATGAAGATGATGGAAATCCAGTTCGTATAAAACTGATAGAAATGCGACTTGCAGATCTGGATGAGTGACATGCAAGTACAATGACTCAACTACAAATTCATACCATTGCAAAGGTATGATTTCAGAAGTTTTAAGCAAAGTCTAAACTGTCAGTAATGTTGACAACTAGAACTTTCTTTTTTTAAAAAAAATCCCTTCTGTCCTTACTTCTACTCTTCTAAAAATAAAATACTGTTAAAAAGATTAAATTTCTTTACATACACATTACTGAAGCCCAGAGTATACATTTAAAAACTAGCAGGTACTGAAACAAAGAGCCCTAAGGCAATATAACAGAAAGAGCTTTTGCTGCTAGTAACTGAAGAAAGTAACTTGATGTGTGGCAGTGTGCTCTGCCCAAACAGTCAAAATCAATTGGTTCTCAAACAGATCCATGATAACATTTGGATGTCCTATGGACAGGTTAGTCAAACATGAAATATTTTAAATGAAAAGCTTTACAGTGTGTGTTGTCTACAGAAAATACTGGACACTTGAATTTTCAAATTTCTTGGCCAGCTTTAAGTTAAGTAGTCATTTTCCCTCGCATTTAGTAAGCGCTCTTCTAATCTATGTTTATAGATAACGTTCCAAACACTTTTGAATCCTGAAACAGTAAAACTATATATTTTCATCTCAATCTCTTGACTGTTCTACAATACCCTTTTCATAAGAGTAGATGGAATGAATGTATAGTAGCAAAGAAATAGATAAAAAAGCTGATGCTGGGCACACCTGTTCTAGTATCTTGTTAGAAGGTGTGGAGAGAAGATGACAGTTTTATGATTGCTGTGATTCTTGTTTATGTTTCAGGCATATTTGGTGACAGAGTTCTCCAGTACCAGAGTCTAGAATCAGGAGTGAGTAGTTGGGGGTAGTGAGTGTTACGATCTTTGTGCTGGAACATGTTTGCATCACTGCTGTGTCTTCTGTTTTCAGTCAAGGTGTTTTGGGTGTCCTTGCACCTCCTTCCTACTCCTGGAGCTGCATTGTTCATTTAAACGTGTCAGAATAAAGAGGAGCTTTCTCAGCATGCATCCGAAAGCTTGTTTTCCTTTACGGCTATCATATGTAAGGATTCTTGTGGATATCCCTATTGTACTAGTGCAGTATATCCTTTAGGTTTAAAGCTCAGACCCTTTCAGTCTCCCCACAGAGAATGTTGTCTAGATTATCAAGGAAATGGTTTCCTCCTAACTGAGACGAAGAAATGAGGAAAGAATAGCCTAAGGCTAACTGAAAAGGAATACTGCCATTTGTTTACTCTTAAGTCAAGCAATGAGTGAACTGCTACCCACACCTTCAAATCTGGTCTTCTGCTGTATTTCACCACAGCACAGGTTCCAAACAGCACAACTTTACGTTGGATCTTTTCTTAGATGTCTAAAATAAGGTAATCTACAGCTATTTGATAAATTTTCACTGACAGATGAGAATTTAAAAAAAAACAAACAACAAAAAAACACAAAACAAAACCCACCACCACCTTTCAAACTACACGTGACAGAATACTGAATCAATAAACTGCTGCTTAAAAGTAGAAATGGGAAAAAGAAATAGAAAAACCTCTGATGTATTAACACACTGAAAAATAAAATTTCAGGAAAACTATAAACAATATATACAACAAGCTTAAAGGGCTTTCTCTTCTTGTTTACAGGAATGTACATTACTTTTGCTGATGTGCCGACACTTCCAAGAGTTTTGACATTACCTACACCTTAGTGTCCATGATAATATTACCATCCTTGTCCTTTACTCTTACTCTGCCAGAGACATACTTTGTTTCCTGCTGTCCATTCATGTACACAGTCTTGACAGTACCATCTGGATACTCCCGCCTCTTGAACTGTGATGTGTGTAGTTCTCTCTGGCCATTATTGAACTCTATAGTTTTGCTTCCATCTCTGCATTAAATAAATGTATATAAGTTGGTTTTGTTTTTTTTAAAATCATTGAAGGACTATAAACTTAATCCCCAAAAAACCCCATTAAATATGCAAGCCTAAATGAAGGAAGAACTCACTACAGTATTTGTGAAAAGCCTGCTTTGTTAAATATCATCCCAGCTGGTTGGTACTCAAAAACCCATTTCTCCAAAACTGACGTGACTTCTTTTTACTTGAGAGCTTCTACCACACTTTCTCTGCGCTAAATCTATTGCTGCAACAGTCCAAGAAAGTTTAAAACTTAGCGTTTTGAGTGCTATCAGTTATCAGCTGTCAGTCAGACCTGCTTGCCGCACCAGCTAGCTTCTCACATGTTCTCTAAAATTATACACAAATCCGAAAAGTCTCTCATGTTAGGGTATGAGAAAATACACACAGGCATTCAGTCTTTATGTATCCTCCAAGCTACCAAAAATAAAAATATCAAAATTTCAAAATAGTAAAGACGTGTTCACAGTACAGTATACTCAAATGTAAACTTCTAGAAATAGATCTGTCACCATATACTGCCTCTACCAGTGAGCCCTAACTGCTCCTTTCCCATCAACAGGCTAGGGTACCAGAAAAGGCAAAGCTTACCGCTGAATACGAACAATAGTGCCATCTGGAAAGATGCTTTCTTCTTGCCCATCCGTAAATAAATTTTTAATCGTTTGATCGGGGAAGGTAATTTCTTTCTTGCCATCAGGATAATGCTTTTCTGAAATGTATTTTGATACAATATGCTTATTACATAAATACAGGTGTGTGTGTGTATATATATATATATATGGGCAGCAATTTTGAGGGTTGGTTGGGTTGGATGATTCCTTTACCTATTTGTCCATTTGAAAACTGTAAGACCTCTAAGCCATCAGAGTATGTAGTATGTGTAGTCTTCGCATCAGCATAATAATAAATCTGCAGAAAACAGTTCAGATTTAACATAACTAGTGAGAAATGTTTTATGTGTGAACACATATGCACAGAAATAAGTATGTATAGAAAAATGCAGAAGATATAGGGTACATACCACTGTTTGATCAGGCATAACCTGCTTCACATCCCCATTGAAGAAAGTTATAGTTACAGTTTTCCCATCAGAACCTACTTTTTTCCATGTCCCATTGGGGAAAAATATGAGGTGACAGCCATTTTTCAAAACCTTTTCAACCTATTGAATACATTAGAGAGGTCAGTATTAAGCCATCACACTCACATACTCATTCCTCTTTCACAACAGCTGTCTTGCGGCGTTTCAGAGTGCCAAGCTCTCATTTTACCTTTCCATCAGGATAAGCAGTTTCTCTCTGTATCTCTTCACTGTCTGTATATGCAGAACCAGATGGTAGTGACACATGAGCTTCATTAGGAGAGGTGTCCTGAAATAACAACAACAATCTAAGCATAAATTCAAATGGAGCTTTGTCTTTATACATGTTTTTTTTTCCCCTAGGCTAACAGGTATTTTAGGACGAGCTTTGTCTTTATACATGTTTTTTCCCCTAGGCTAACAGGTATTTTAGGAAATAAAGAACATCAGGGCAGGAAGACAAGCACAGGAAGGCATAAGTACAACCTGGGTTTTATGTAACTCTGAGTATAATTCAAGTGGTAAGACAGACTGAGTCTCAACAATAATTAGTTAGTTAACTGTGGTCAGCTGTAGTCCAGGCTAAAGTGGAATTCAGTGGTGTGTTGTAGCATGGTGCTCAACTGCCATGTCGCTGTGAAACAATTGATGAAGTTTCATAAAGCCTGAATGCTACCTACAATTAATGTAAGAATTAATTCAACTATTTACAAGATTCTTGCATGGTTGCCCTACATGGAGCATATAAACATCCATCTTTTTCCCCCCTCTCTCAAAAGGTAAAACATTTTGCAAAATTCAAGGGAGCATGAGATTATTATTTTATTTTCTTTCCTTGGCCAAAGAATGTTGTAACTACTAGACACAAGTAAAACACTCTGCATTGACTACTACATAGCCATTTTCTGGTATGAGATAATAAAATTGCAGTTGAAGAACATAAGAAGGTGAGTCAACGGCTTCACCAGTCACCCTCCAGATACTCATTTAAGTACAAGTAACTATTGTCTTATTTTAAGCTTTTTCCTCACCCTTAAAAATCAAATCAGGATACAGGACTTACTACCATAAAAGTCCTAGAAGAATCTTCTAGCGCTGTCATTGTCTCAGAGTTGCTTCTGTCACTAGCAGGTCCTGATGCAGGTGTTCTAGAAAGCTTTCCTACTCAGATACACATAATACAGTTAATTTGGACAATAAAATTAAAGTACAGTTTAAGTGTTATATGTGAGGTCAAGCTCTACCTACATTTCTTAAGTGCAGTAGAAATTGAAAGCAGTATGTTTATGAAAAGAATCAACACAAGCCAGCTCCCTCAGCTATGTCATTGCTTCGTGTATCAGCAAGAAGCTACAACTGAAGAATCACTGCAACACGCATAACATGGCACTTTCTTTCTTATTTCATCTCTGTAGATTTACAAAGAATCCCCCCCCTCGCCCCGCCCCGGATCTAGATAACATGGTTAGTTATGCCTTATAATGAATAAAGGAAGACTGAGATAACCTTTTAACAGGAACTGATTGGCATACTTTTCCCATGTCTCTCCTAGCACACCAGAAAGATTACCAAAATAAAAACAGCAAGAGCTTCAATTCTGGAATATTCTCCCTTAACAGATAACATGAGCTGTCAGGGGTGTCAAAAAAGTACCCTCCAATTACTTTCCATATGTGATTATTCATTAGGAAGGAGTATAGCTGCCAACAGCATTTGCTCCCAACTGTGAGCAAGGAACACCTGCTACGGCATTGCCCGTATGAGTACAGATCCTGATAAGGAAGGTTCTGAAGAGACTTGGCAGATCTGATGCTATCAACACAGCCACCTAACCAGCATGTGCAGCTTGGAGAATGTCACTGGTGAATGCCAGTCTGGATTGCAGAACGCAGCTTCTGGTACACTCCAGAGCGCCAAACGTGACCAGAAGCATGTTTGCTCTGAGAATGGTCTCATCACAGCTTTCTCCAGAATCTTACCCTGTGAGGTATTTATCCATATGCTCAAGTCCATTACAACTGTTCTCTGTCTGCTTTTGAGGTGGTGATGCACTCCTCTTTAATACAAGCCAAAACACCACCTTAATTTTCTTTTAAAGACTTAACAGAATTCTCTGATTAGACAAACATTTATACCTTTTGCCTGTGAGCAACTTTTGCCATTTATCTTGCTGCACTTCTGTACTGGAAGAAGGGGAGATCCAGTTCGACTTTTTGGGCCTTTATTTGGTAGACACTAGAAGAAAAGTTATTTGTGGTTTATACGACATTTATTCGTAAGTGTTCATATAGCAGCAACAAAATTTATATACCATGCGACGTAAAATTTACTGGAAGCTTTTTTCACAAACTATACATTTTTGAGACTTAGTCAGCAGAAGGGCTTGTGTGATTTAGCCCAAGCTGTGCTTTGGACCCCTTCCTCTGTCTGCTACGACGCTACCAACAACTACAGAATGATAATTTGGTGCAAGCAATCCAGAATAATAGTTACAGTTTCAAAACTAAATATAACTGCTTTAGAAAATGGTGAACCCCCTGGTTTGCCTGGCTGATCCTTAAGGTGCAGAGGTTCCCGGGTTAGATCCCATCTATGATTTCTCTCTTGTAATTGCACCATTTTGAATTTCTAAGATTAGTTCCTCCACAGAATGAATGCTGCACACTGCGAACATTCACATTTGGAGAGAATGTGATATCTCAAAATTCTGTGTCTGTCACCACTAGTGGAGTCCCAAGATTAGTAAATCAAAAGTAAACATCTAAGTTGGATCATAAACCTGGAATCCAATAGCTACAAAACTCAAGACTATTCACACAGTTGACTTTAAAACACCGAGATTAATAACTTACAGATTCTGCTCTTTTTAGAGTCATCCCAGAATGTTCGGTTTTCCTCTTGCTTCCAGCAGCTTCTACTTTCTTCCAGGCTTCTAGACGAAACCTCTCCATAATTTTGACTTCCTCTTTTAGCTCCATATTCTCATTTGCTAAAGCTTCTATTTGATCTTTCAGGCGTCGATGAGTTGTTGACCATTTTGCCTCTTTTCGTTTTAAATCTTCCTGTAACTCTACAATCTGCTGTTTTAAAGCCTTAGAAAAATGCATGTTTATAAATCAAAGAGCTTTCATTTTTAATTAAGATTGTAATGTTCCAATAGAAATACAAGCACACAAAAAAAGCACAAGAGCAGCAAGAAAAAAAAAAATCAAAAAATCAGCTTAACAGGACAGAGGGTGAAAGGTAGAAGTTTTCTTCCCCAAAAGAGATATTATTTACTTTAGACTACCAACTTCATCAGCTCAACTTCAATCACAGAAAATGTCTTTTTTGCCCTCTTGGCATCCTTTACACTTCACAGATTGGTCAGCGCAAATACACTTGAGACAGAAGCATGAAATCTTTAAGGCTACCCTTGAGAGGACACTTCAAAAATTGTGGCCCAGGAAAACGAGGAGGACACAATCACATAAAACACATGTGAATGTGCCTAGCCCATTTAGCAAATGCTACTTCCATCTGTTGACTAAAGACCTACAAGTAATAACAAAATGTAACTTTGAAAATTGTAGAGGATTACTCCATTTATTGTACAGAAGTTATAAACAGAATAAAACTCAAATACCGTTCTAGTTGGCATTTTGATTCACTGCCATGAATAAAAACTTACAGCTTAATATTAACTACAATCATTTTCTATCAAAGTTGAAGATCATTCTACCATAGTCACGAGCAGTTTTTAGTATGGAAACGTGACAAAAGGATTTGCTCATCAGGGGTTTTTACCATCAAACAGCATTGTGAAGCCTGTAGTTCCTTCCTCAATTAGGCCACGTCTACTAACAGTTCACATTTTGAAATCACTTGCAACCTTTCAATTAAGTTAGAATTCAGGTTTTGACTGCCTTTAAATGAATTTACATGTTCCTGTGTGGGCTAGAAGAATAATATATTTTTATACCTGAATTTCATCACGTTCTTTTTTATCTGGAATTGCTCTAGCTTCTGCGGTATATTTTTCAAAAACTTTACGCTCCTTTTGCAGTTTTTTCATTTCCTTTTTTTTATATTCTTCTATTTCAGCCAGTTCTTGGGCTTTCTGCTGTTGAAAGTCTGCAATTTCTTTCCTATAATTATGAAACAAAGTTGTTGTTTTAGGCCAAAACTACTTCAAATCTGAATTTTAAGGAAGAAAATGAAGATTCTGAATTTTGTGGTCATTGATTCCAGTCCAGCATCTGTTATGCCCAGGAAGACTTAGCTATAAATGGTATTACTTATCTAAGGAGTAAGAATTGTTACACAGTTTGTGTTTGAAGTCCAACAATTTGTTTGTATATATCTTCTAGTCACAAAAGTTATCCTGAATTTAACAAAGCTTTGGCTAAAATCCTCCAACATTCTTCAAAGCAGAAGAACACCATTCCCCCAAAAGCACCAGGGAAAAGAATCTGCTAACAGCAGGAGGTCACAAACTAAACATTAGCCAACAACATGATGTTGTTTCCCAACAAAACACAAGTGACTTTGGTAGGAATAGGTGTGCTACATTTAAGTCACCAGAGATAATTACTCTGTTCTACATGTCACTTATAAGTCCCCCAGTTCAAATGAAAATATTCTCAGTTTGTACACACAAACATCCAATCCAAAGGAAAAGCATCAACCATATTAGCGTGAAGATCAATTTTGCAAGAGCAATTTAGGACTGTGTTATCACTCAGAACAAAAGTATACAGTTCTCCCAAGTATACCCTTTAAGGATATCATATTAAACTAGCAGGGGTTCTTAAAATTATAATTTGTGTGTGAGTAATAACTACAGTTTAATATATACATATACATAGAGCAGCAACCAGTTTCTTGGCCCATGTCTCCACTGTAACTGAAACACACCAGTTATTTACCTGTGCTGTTGGTAACTGGACAGTATGATAGTCTGGAACATACTATGTCAGTGAATGCACCAAAATGTTTCAGTTAAAAGTTACCTGATGTTTGCCAAGGCATGCTCTCTTTCTTCACGGAGTTTAGTTAGAGTTGCATTTTCAGCTCTGAATCTCTCTATTTCAGTTTCCAATTCAGCGAGTCTCTCTCGCAGTACCTGGGATGGAACACTGTTTCCTGTCAAGGAACAGCCAGATGCGAGTTATCTAAGCGGCACTCATAAGACTGAAGTAAACAATTATTCCACATCAGTTAAAAAAAAAAATTCAAGTGACAGTATTTTAGAGATAGTAGTAGTATTGCAAAAAAAATTCTACTATTGAAATAACACAGAAGTGACATATTAAAGCAATCTGCACTATTTACTTAAGTACCTCAAATACTGAGTATTTCTATCATCTCTGTAGAACTAAAAAATTTTAGGAATTGGAATGTGAAGGGCCTCACGTCAAGGTAGAGAGATGAAATGAAGGTATAAGGACTAAGCATCAAACAGGAAAGTTTATGGTTGTAAGTTTTTCCAAGTTTTATTCAGTCTGCTCACACCCATCAGTAATGTGAAATCTATTGCGGAGGCCACTAATAGGATTTGTGAGCTTTTTTGCCATCCCAGTTTCCTGTTCAGTCACTACTTAACACTCCCAGGGTTTTAATAGTCCACTTCTGAGTATGCGACAGAAGAGCCTAAATACTGATGTTGCAGTGTAGGTAGTTGCCTCATTCACCCTTAAACGCGCTGAGATCAAGTAGAGAAACCCCTACCCATCTTCCTGCAAACAACATCTAGCAGGCATCTTTAGACAATGCTACAAAATCAATTCTCCACAAAACAATAAGCAGAAGTAGCAGATTTCATATGAACTTCTCATAAAAACATCAACACTAATCCTAAACACTCACCGGAGCAGAGTTTGAAACAAAGATCTCACCACCTTACAAAGAAGAGATTTAAATGCTAGGGTATTCTATCACGCTTTCAATGAACAACTGCATTTTTAATGATCTCACATAAATGCAACAGCTTCAACAGCAGCTTTTAGAGGCAGTCCTCCCCCAGATTATAACCATATGGTTGAAATCAACTTGGGCAAAGCAGAAGAACTAATCCGTATTTCCCACATTCCACATGAATTCACTAGATACTATACTACTGTCAGAAAATATGGACAGGACTGTTGCCTCATATTTTATAAGGGGAACAAGCCAATCTACCAGTGTATAGCATTACATTACTGTGGTGTAAACGCACTCTGTAGTGGAAAGGGAGGTACCCCTTCATTTTCAGCGCAGCATGCCTTTGATATTTTCCTTGATTTGGAAACAGCGATCAAGCAGCTCTAGATCAAGTTAGTTCAATGAGCTGACAGAAAACTATCCTCCACGAAAAAAAAAAAAAAAAAGGTAAAAGTTTTCACTGATCATACTTATTCTGCAAGCTGCGTAATTGTTAGATCTGACATCAGACATGCAACCGGGAGAGAAGACGAAAGGTGAGAAGAGGGCCATTCCCTGCAGCAGAAGTCTGTACTTACACCGGCTGGTGTAATGTCAGGTTGCAGCTTAAGCGTTAGAAGGAAAGACTTGTAAAGTATGTCTTCTGCAACATTTCCTACCAGTTGCTGTTTTCTCACCTCCTGGCTCCTGTTCCACATTTGATTTGACTTCACGCTCCAAATGACAGCCTGCCTTCTGTTTTGGTTTCAGGGAAGGAAACAGTTTTACCATCAGGTTTGGTACAGGAGGTCCATTTGAATCACTGTCCACTACAGAGTCTTTGGACATTTCATCTCCCCTCTTTGAGGCAACTTTTCTCTTTATTGCTTTATCTGGGACAGTTGTATCATTCTTACTGTAAAAGTCTGTCTGTAGAGGCATTTTAGTATACATTTCAGGAAATTCACTATTAACATAATTTTCATCAAGATCACTCCATGTTTTTTCATCATCAAACTCAAACTTACTCCTACTTATACAAGACATGTTCCTCTGAAGGTCTGAAGCTTTCCCAATTTTTTGCTTTGACAGTGCACTACAATCTTTGTCTGACAAGCCAAGGTCAGCATCTCCATTATTGCTTTCCTTGCCGGTATCTGTAACAGAACCTCCATAATCAAAAAATTCTGGATCACTTTCTCTATGGTTCAGGAAGGACATCTTAGCATCTTCATTTTCATGCTTTAAGGTAGTCTCAAATTCGCTCTCAGAATCTGTAGTAGTATCACCACTGCCCTCGCCCTTCTCTTCATGTACAGTCCATACATTACTTTTTAAAGCAGGAGCTGCTGTCATGGAAGAAGCTGAAAATATTACACTGTCTGTTTTATTCAATGGATCCTTCATTCTAAAAGCTGTTCCTGAATTTGAGACTCCATGCATAACTGCTCTATCATTTATATTTCCCTGTGTCATATTGTCTGCCTTTTTATTTTTCTTATTTATGAGTTCAACAGCCAGAGCCTTTACTTGCTGCTCTTTTGCCTTGATAGGGGTAGAAGACATTCTACGCCCTTTTAAAGTTTGCAGATCTTGATCTAATATCCTTTGCACAAATGAGGAATTACTTGAGAAAGATATTTCATCTGCAGCTTGTTCTAGAAACAAAAATTCATCTAATTCCAGATTCTCCTTTTCTTTTTCTTTTTCCCAGTTTTCCAGCTTATTCTGAAATGAAACTTCAAAAGACAGTTCTGAATCTTTCACAGGGTGACCTATAAGGCATTTGGAATTAGAAAAGGCACTGGTCAGCTCACGTGACATCTGAGGCTCTTCTGTGCCAGGTAATTTGTTTCCAATTTTGCCAGCGTTAGACTTAACAAATTCTACCATGTTCTCTTTATTTTCTATTTTGTTGTTAATTTCCAACAGGAAAGAATCTCTCATCTGTCCATCATGACTTTTTCCTGGTTGCATTCTCATTTCTGATGGCAAGAGATTTTTTCCATTGTGATTCCTGAGTGCCAGGGTCTTCTGATTAGTACAGTGTTTTGCTTTATCAGGGTGGTTATATTTTTTACATGGTGCAAAAGGGTTGTCAGAAACTAGCTCTTTGCGAGGAGGCACAGTTTTCCTCTGTATTTGCGGTCTGTCCACCTTAGTGACATTTATGTCATCTGAAGCCCTTTGTTGAAGTTTTGGGGTGTTTTCTCCAAGTTTTGTAATTTTAGATTTGGCATTAATCAATCTCGTTAAGCCTTCTCCTCTCTTCAGGAAGGGTCGTTTGATCACTGGTTTTTGAATGGCCGATCCATTTGTCTCCTGAAAAGGGGCAAGGAAAAGTAAAACACAAAATGTTAAAAAGCCCCTTCCACAGTTTGAGTATTTCCTCAAATAAAACCCACATGAGTAGAAATTTATATAGTACACTTCTACTGGACTTCTGAAGACATCTGTGGCGGTTCAGTGTCTGTCAGGATTTCGGTAGCAGGGGGAGGGGGCTACAGAGGTGGTTCCTCTAAGAGGCCTCGAGAAGCTGCCCTGGCTTCAATTCCGGACTCGCCTCTGGGCAAGGCCAGACCAATAGCGCCTCTGAGAATAACTCTGTTTACAAGTGAAAAAAACTGTTGATTGAGTTCTTTGTCTGTCTGTCTGTGTTAGTGAGCGGGAGAGAGAAGAGAGATGGGAGAG